CAAATTTCATGAAAGGTAAGAATCTAGAAGTTTCGTGTAGTATGTAGAAATAGAAGTGCGATATAAATATGGTACCCAGTGAATGACATCGAAAATGCGTTATTATGTTCAATATCAGTTAGAGTGTTAGACAATGAGAGTTACTGTGCATATTCATCCGTGATCGAGTAAGTAAGTTTATTTGGGCAGTTACAGTTAGTTTCGGAATTTCTGTTTAAACATTAATTTTGAAGTTAAACCAACAAAGAACGTAGCCTATGCTTTAGGAAACGATTTTGAAGAAATAGATTAATTTGTTTTACGTGGACTTGTCATTATTCTTACCAAATAATACAAAAGAACCCGCCCAAAGATAGAAACACTTTATAACAATAATATAGTAAATTACTCTTTTATATAAACAAAAATAAATTTGACTGCACCGTATAAGGCTTTATAGTTAAATGAAAAGTAATATATTTTTATTTTTTTTACTTTTACATTTCAAAATGATGTACATAGTTGGTCAGTATTAGATATTTTGCGATTTGTTAAATATTTAACACAATATAAAACGTAATGTGTTATATGATCTTGAAATAATCTTGTCAAAAACTGAGTGATAAAATAGATTTGAAAAATACATAAAATTTTAATACTAAAATAAGTTTTACCGCATAGAATTTTTATAATTTCTCAGCACCGCCCTCTAATTTGTAACTCACAAACTTAATTGTACACATTGAAGGCAACATATCTGGTCTCGAGATTTCTCGTCTAGAAATTTAGCTTGCGACGTTTGCAAATGTTCCAATAATTGTCTATTAAATAAGGAAGTGTATAACATTATTTTTAGAAAGTTCAAAATTCAATCACATAAACTTAGAGGAAAAAATGCATCTACGTCTATCATTACATCACGCTTAAAAGAGAGATTGGTAAGCAAACACTTTCTAGTGTTGTAACATACTTAACTAAGTTAACATAGCCTAGGCATAAATTGATAAAATGATAATCATAAGGTCTTCACTTCTGTTCTCTTATATTATACTGTAGTATAGGGGATGTTCGTTAATATTTTGTATTACTACTAGTATTAACTAAGTACTGGTACTGTAAAGAGATATAATGATTATCATTAATAATACTACAGTGTACTGTGTGTGTCAAACTATGTAATGTATTGACTATTTGACAATATCGTACAGTGTAATTTACTAATTATCAAGAAAACCTCATAATGAAACTTTTGAAAGTAATTATAAATATGATTTAAAGTCTACTTCGTACTTGGCCTAGACTAGTATTACTACTACTAGTACTAACTACAACTAATACTATTAGTAATACTAATTGGTGTATTAAAAAATTGTCATGAAATTAACATTTTCATACCAGTTTTGGAATTTTCTCATTAAAACGTGGTATAATCGTATGTTTGGTGAAATTTAGTTCTATTATTATTGAGACAAGAAGTTTATAAGATGTAGTAATTTTAAACATAGGTCTTCTTTATAATAATCATCTTTTGCTAGTTATAGTAGTAGTAGTGTATGTAATACTAATAGTGTTGTTGGTGGCTAAAACATCTACACTCCAATTTCTTACTGAGACTTACTTTATTTTTTGGTGTATAAGATGCACTTTTTTACCCTAAAATTTGATGTCAAAATCTGCTTGCGTCCTATACACCAAAGGTATGAATAATATGTATGTATATATACGATATATATATATATATA